TTGGTTAGAAATGAGAAACCGAGTTAACGTGTAAGAAGTATACTGTGCACTTTTTTACGTAGAATATGATTTCGAGATAAAAAAAATATAGGTTTACGATTATAAAAAAAAATAAAATGAAATTAGAAAAGTAGTACCATTTTAATCCTCGTTCAGAATACTGAAAGGCATGTGCCAGTTTTCTTTTTTTTTTTTGTTTTTAATCACTTGTTTACAAGATTTTTGGCTGTCTCAACATAAAAATGGGACACTCTGTATATAGTAGAATGACTGTAAATAGCACTGGACAATTTTCTGCATAAATAGAGGGAGTTAATACACGGTGATATTTTAAATGCTTACTTCTTTCGTTTTTAACAATATGCTAGAATCCAGGTTGTTTCGAGCAGATAATGATCCATGTTACAACGTTGGTAATAACAACAACACGGTCGTTTTAATTCTCTAGCCTGAATCTAATGGAAACACGAGCATCGTGGAAAAGAACCAACAATTTAATCTACATAAATTACACGAAACTATCGAGCAAACTGGAGAGTACAATTTTATTACTCTTTATCAGTCTAGGACTCTTATCGATCCCGTGTTATACCGAGGTAATAAGGAGATCATTAATTACCAGTGTCAAAAAGTAACAGCTATCCTATGAATCTATATAAAAAAAGTCATTAATAAAAAGTAGTTTGTTACTTAAGAGGATATTTCCGTCTAGATAATTTTTTAATGATTCCTTGTTATTTTTTTATCTTCTATTAAAAAAAAAAAGTAGTAAAAATCAATATTTTAGAAAATCCCTTCAGGCAATGAAGATACATTTTTCGAAGATTCCCTCCTCTGAATTCAATCATCTTATTAAAACTTACAATATCATGGCAACGCGTTCGTTGCAACTGTCATAATTTTTAATATTTTATAAATTCAAACTGAATGAAAAAAACAATAGTCTAGACGGGAATGCTCGCTTCAGTCTCAAATTTCACATTCGCTTTAAATTCGCCTATGCTAGATACAAAGACACGAATCGCTTCGAAATAATCGTGTTCCGTAAGCGTCATTGTTATTGCAAAATAAGGCTGTTACCACGGACAATGACTTAAGCGCTTCTCGAGTTCCGCGAAACGGATAACAATTACCGTACAACAATTGTCAAATGCTAGAGCCGGTAAAGCATTCCTAAAGACGAAGAGAGAAAAGGGTGGGGGTGGGAGAGGGAGAAAGGCAACTTTTATTCTTTCATGCCGGTCGATATAACGCTTTAATGGGCCAGTGGAAAGTTATAAATACAGCATCAGCCCCGGGAACTAATTATTCAAATATCTGTAGATACTCGGAAGTATAAATATGGAAGAAAGATGGAGGGGGGAGCCGATGTCCACTTAGGGGATGCTAGCATGAATTTACTCGGGAATACTGGCGCTCTGCGGAGGTAACTAGTGCCAACGAAACTTCAAGTATCTACGTTATTTAAGGGGGTACGAGATACGTATATAGATTCGAGTTCCATCGTCGACCACTAGAGATTCCATTCACCATAAAATGGAGAAGAGTGGAAACTTCTTTTTCCGGGGAGTAAGGGAGAAGGAGAAAAGATATTGCGAAAGTCCAACATCGTTGTCCCTTCTTTTTTACCCTCGTTCTAACTCAGGTGTTTTCCCTCCTTCTTTCCCTTTTGCCCGCGCATTTCCCACCTATTACTTTTTTCCTCTGGCCGCTTTCCTTTTTCCTTGACCTCGAAACCGCTCTGTTCGGGATCCCTCGAATTTCTTGTTGATCTTTCATCGCTTCGGGTACACCGAGAGCGGGCTATCAAGGATTCGCGAAAGTAGAAAGTTTCTAGATCCACGCGGTAGATCTACAGTAGCGAACGAAAATATAAGACGGTTCGCGTACAACCAGGGACAAAAGTAAGTGGATCATACGACAATGGTGTTACTTCGAAACAGATTATTTCGTTCTAAAAAAATGATCTTTTTTCTATAGAATGTATAAGATGTTCTTTCATGTGTAAATAATACATATTCGAAGTGTCTTATATTTTTGTGTGGTTGGCCAGTTAAGAATAAAGTTTGGCCATTGATCGAGTAGTGTGTAGAACTTGGATTTAGCCCACGTTCGTGTAATCAGCTGCCTAATGAGCCGAGCGCAGAGCTACAGGCTCTTTCCGGTTAATGGCGAGCTGTATGCCGAGTACGTCCAAACCACGGTCCCATAAATCACGGAGCACCTTCGCTGCGACACGGCGAATCGAAAGGTTCGATAAATATAGACCTAGATAGATTTCCTTAAGCGAGATATATCCGCCTTTGATACTTGAGCGCACACGCGAAATATAGGTCACTTATTGAAAGATGATAGCAGAGAGGAAATGACGCAGGAAATTTTGACGTCGCGAGGTGTCACTTACCTTCGCCTATTGGAATTTTCATGACTGTTTGGGAAACTTGCGTTTGAAGGCCCGGCTACGAAAAAGGAAACCAGCGCAGCCTTTAACGCTAGATTCCGGAGGACATTGATTGCAAACATTTTCATTGGAACATCAAAATAATTTGATTTTATAAAAAATATTAGCATTCCAAGAGAGTGGAAATACAAGAGATCGGTATTCATACGAAATTGTTCGAAAAAATGGCACGGAAGCTTCGTAGGGGCTATGTCAGGTATACTTGACTAAAAGATTGAGGGGTTACCATAGATCCATACTATCACGAAGATTTCATACTGGCAGGACTTCGTGAATGAAAATCAGCTTTAAAAGGGAAAAGATCGCAAGGATGATATTGACTCGCCGGAGACGCCGCCTTAAATAGAAAGAGTAACGGTATGCTGTAAAAAATTTTATAAGGATTTATACGCGCTGAAACGTTATCTATTTTTTTTTGGAAACTCTAGTTATTTCCTGCATTTGGAAATCCTATATTTCGCGCTCCACGGTATTTTTGAAACAAGGGCAGCTTCGAAGATCGCCATTCGTCATCGATCGTTGAAAGCTAGGTTCCGGGAGGGGTCGTGGTGCTCGTAAAAAGGCAACAATAATTTCCCTGGACACTAGGGGAAAAAATCGATATTATCGCTGCTACGCAAGCGTTTTAGCGGGAAGAAAATTTTTTAAAACGAACCGATAACGCACGGGGTGACGACATTTCGAAGAATACTAAGAATAACGTTTAGGGGGCAATAAAGAGATAATGCCGAGCTTTCAGAAACGAAGAGAACGTCCTCGTTGGTAAGTTCTTAACGGGACGTTTCGACGTCCTGAGAACCTTCTATCCTCGAACGAGGCAATTACAGGCCGTGGTTTACCGGTCGCGTTTACACCCGTAGCCTGCTACCTTAGTATAGGCTAAGCCCCCGTGCGATCGTAAACTTAGCTGACGGGGTTCAACCTCTTTGGCATTGCCGTTCGATATCTCGAACAGCTAGCTGCACAGAGTTCCGCGTCGTCAAACCCTGACCCCTTTCCTGCCATTGGAGAAGTTAAAGGAACCCTCCCATCAAACCCCTTAAGGGGGGATTCGCGTCTACACCGCAATTTTTTAATGGTCTCTTGGAAATTTTTTTTAAACAAGGATATTTTTACCCCCCGTTCGGTTTCAATCCATGCTCCTAACTTTATGCTTCAAGAATATCTGCTATTTTTATCGTGCAAAAATATTAATCATTATTGAAGTTACAATGAAAGAAAGAAGCGTACACACGGTCGCCATATCTTAAATTTGAACGAAAAGAAACAAATCTTATACTTTGGGGCGAGAAGATCCTATAACTTTTCGAATTTTATTTTATAAACTTTTATCGACTGAAATTTTAACATCTTTGAACATGCCTGTATACAGGGAGGAGGGGCACTATCGATATCGATTCGAACAGCCGAAAGGGGGATGATTCCACGTGAAAAGCAAATCGAAAATGAAGAATAAAATTTTTTTATTTGGGGCTTCGTTTTCGAGATAATTGAATTTGAAAATATGGCTGGAACAAGAGGAATTCAATACGATTCGTCCGACGCGTCTGGCCATTAATCGATTATTCTACTTAAACTCGGTGAATATTCGAAGTCAATTTTCACGAAAACGAAGCCTGGAATGAAAAATATTATTTTTTCAACAGGGTGTTCCGTTATTATTAGTACAACCGGACAGGGGCATAGTATAACAAGTATGAATATTCAGGAAAAAATACGTAACTTCTAAACTAATGGACGTAAGGTCTCTAATATGGTTTTAAAGAGGCATTAACTTATTGGAGAAGGGGATACAATTTGACTAAAAAAATTAAAGTTTATCGGGAATACGCATAAATCGAAACATTCCTTGCAAATTGAATCCGGTATAAAAATCCTGGTTACAATCTAAATATCTCATGCGTTTTTCGAAATATGAGAAACAAGAACTGGTAGCTATGGTTAATGCTAATTTCGAACGTAGATTATATATTCACATTTCGTAGTTTGAATTCTTAGTGAAACGTAGAGTTTTAAATCAACATTCGTAAATAAATATCCGTAGCTTTTATTACCACGAATTTTCTAGTTTTTACTATATTGTATATAACACTTTTGTATATTACCTTATGCAGTTTTTCTATCGTTATTAATAATTTGTTATGCGAATATTGTCAAATGAAATTACCAAGAACGATTTATAATTACGTTTATACATAGATATCAATTTTTTTTTAATGAAACTCGAAATGCATGTGTCGCATTAAAACTCATTCTAAGGGATCGTTTAGTTATTTAAGATTAAGTGCTTTAATCAATTTTGTATATACATATTTCAGATTACAAATCGAATTACATCGATAACTTTCGAAGCTGTTAGCACGATAAATGTTTATTAATTTCGCAAGAAATATTTCGTAATAAGTATGAATGGAATGTAAACGAGGAGGAGGCCTGGAAATATTTACTAAAACACGATCCGATGCTGCGGTATATTAATAATCTGCGAAACTTGAACGAGAACGCAGTTCGATAAACCTTTTCTGCTTTCTGTTTCCAGCGAATTCGAAGCCGTTGACTTTCGATGAAGTGTACAATCAAAGTAGTCCCACAAACTGCACAGTATACTGCGGTGGATTAACCAATGGTCTAACAGAAGATCTAATGCAGAAGACCTTCTCGCCTTTCGGATCCATCCAAGAGATTCGTGTATTCAAGGACAAGGGTTACGCTTTTATCAGGTAAATTTTTGGTAAAATCATCATGGAAATATAATTTTTTATTGGCTATTGCCTCGCGGTATGTCACACTAAATGTACGATTAATTCGAAACCCAAAAGTAAATGATGAAGTTCGTAGTTTTAGAGTACCGGAGCATCTTCGAAAGTTCAACAATTATTCCAGCGAATTGCTCACCTGTAAAATGCACGGGTTAACCGAGACCTTCTTCTGGAACTTATTAATTTCGAAAGTTTCGCCGCTCGATTGTGTATCTTAGCGATCTCTCAATGTCCCCGAGGACTATGCCGCATTGTTGTTGAAACGCCTCTATGATATACGTCGCGTGTAATGTCTCTTTAAGACGTCACCGCGACCGGAAGTCCCTAGAGTGAATCCCGAGTTGAAGTGAGCCGCAGTCAGAGATCATCGCGTCGAAGAAATCGAGCAAAACGAGAGTTTGGTTGATGAGAAAGTTCTCGCGTACAAAAGCAAGTTCGTAGAAAATGAATTCTTCCGACGGACAGGAACTTTAAAAATTACTCGCGAGAAAGTTTCAGCTACTGATACATTTAGGAAGAATCCAGAGCTTTGCCAGAAATGTATACGAACACATTTTAAATTATTAATAATCTTAAACATCTCCAACACGAATTATGTGAAATTTTATTTTTCTAATTTTCGACAAACATTGTCAAAAATTTCCTTTCGATTTCATAAATTCATTATACGAGAGTCGATGCTGGAACTAAAGTTCGACTTTTAGGTTCTTTTATATGGTGGTCTTAAACAATCATTTTCATTTTCGGAAGCTTGTCAGGCTAGTAAAGAAGCATAAGTAATTAGCTATGCTTAATACCGGTTCGATAAAAGTCCAGAAAGTACCGATTCGAGCTAAACGCTTCCCGCTGCCAAGTTTCGGTTGGCAGAAGTCTAAAATCGAAAACTACGAGGAACGTGCGTCATGAAATCTGTCCAAAGCACTGACAACATCATGATGTCCTTAGGGAGCTTTTGGCATCTGACGATAGTGCAATGATGCTTTCAAAATTAATGATACCCGGAATGCAGCCAAAATCACTTGCCTATTCAATCGATATTCCCACCAGGAGAAAAATAACCAAGACTCCACCATTTCGAATACTTAAAAAAACTCGTTTGTTTTTAAGATCGTTCCACATTTGGATAACAAGATTTAAATACGATACACCGAGATGAAAATTCGTCGAGTTGCAAGAATCCAAAGTTCAACGTTTCTGTCTAATATTCCAGGCATAATCGATATCTCAAACATTGAATCCCTTAGAAATTAGTAAGGAATCAGATATCATCTTTGCAACCGGATGAAAATTATCGAGGAATTTGAGGCTAGCGGAATAATAGGTTACTTTCGTCGCGTTCCGTATCCAGTTACCCTAAACCATATATCAGCCATCAGGCGTCAATTCCGGACACGTTTTCCAGCAAAATTCGATCAATTTTCGTTGCTGGGAACATCTCACGCCCAATCGTGGATTGACGAATACGACACACCGGGGCAGCAGCAACGGCCAAACGAAAAGTCATCGAATTTATCGGGAGGAAGAGATTAGGTTCTAACGTCCGTGCCCCGGGACTGCACAACAGAAGTTCCGTTTCGAAGTTCGTTCTCCGTCCACGTTGTTACAAAGGGTGTTAATAAATTCTCATCGACTACACTTTTTAAATCAAACACTAGCGCGAAGACCTTAGATCAAAGGGTGTCTTCTTCCTCCCTTTGCCTTGCCTTTTTATATCTTTATCAGGCATAAATGCGTCTATGCGTCAGAGTTCGAAGGTCCTGCTCGTGGAAGGGAAAGTGATGCTAATATTAAAACGTCCTCGAGTACGACGAAGGATAGTCATCGTCAGCAACCAACCTCCTTTCTGTTTCTAAAGCCCCGACCGATAACCAGCGGTAGATAAGATTCTTTCTTTTCATCGAGAAGAAAGGATCCCCCCTCCACCTCCTCGTACTGCCTCGGTCTATACATTGTATTCAGGAGTAAGTTCATACGTCATCCCGAGATATTCGTTTCCGAGGCTTCCGACTATAGAAAAATGGGAGAGGAAAGAGCAATTAGACGGAAGATATCCGAATGACGGACATTGTCCACGGGTAGTGGAACTGCACCAGACACGCGGAGGTATATTGACGGGGGTTGGACGAACCAGAAAGAAAGAACCGAAGATGCTGAATGCCGTAGAATGTCCAGGTCGATGGAACGAAGGAGTTTTTCGCCTCCTTATTACGCCCCTTTCTTCCGCGGACATTGCTCGTTCTGAAACTATCCTCTCGCGTCTCTGCCAGTTTGTCCTACGATGGGTCATGGAAACCGACATAACCGTCTTTGAGGGCTACCGATAGACACTGTCGGTAAAATACTCGAATGGCCACCGTAGAGTCCCGACTTGAATTTCTGGTTTCAAAGTTTACAATTTTTTAGCATTTAGTCTTTGCTTTTATCGCAGCGTGGTTCGCTTGAAAGGGATGCGCGCAGCGAGTATTTATTTTCTCCAGCGTTACACGAGATCATTTTACCATAGAATGGAATCCCTGTCATTAAAGAGGGGATACTGCATTCTGAGTTGCGCGGGCCAATCCGTGCGCAAGATTATCTTTATAATGCTCCTAAAAACGACATGTTTATGTCCGGTCATGCGGTATAATGCATCCCCTCCAGCTCCCACGGTTGCATAGGCGACATTTACGGAGGGGTGTCCACCCCTTTATCTTGGGTAAACGCCAAATGGCAAACCTTAACCTCCCCGTAATTGAAGGACACGATAAATAAGTCTCTCCGCGTTTTCAGGAACGCGACCTAACCCGGAATTTTTCATTTTTCCCCCGAGTTATAAATAAATAATACGCGACGAAGACAAATCCCCTCGGACCGGCGCTGGGATGAGGCCAGTTAGCTCGGTCGTTATCGACGAAATGATAATATCTGAAGTTCGTTCACATGCTCGATACACTTTGAACATTCTCCAAACTATATGAAATTCAAAGTGGGACGATGTATGCGAAACTACGATTTAACAGGGAATCCCTCGGATCCATGGTAATCTAAATTCGCCCGGATTTGCGTATTTTCCTTCTACACGCGTACACGTGTGCGTAAATTTATATTTATTAACCAAATGCATTTTTCACGCAGTTTGGTCGTCGAAACTTTTCATTTCGGTAGAAACCAGTAAATTTTGACGTATTCCTGAAAATTGCATTTAGCAAATTCGTTTCTGCTTTACAGACTGAAATTACAAACAAACGTCGTATACATCTTTAGACACGGAAAACTAACGTCAAAGTATTAATAAGTTTTAAGATATATTTATTTACGTTAAGAGAAACGTTCGAAGTTGATCTAAAGTTCATGACTGGTTTGTATTTCAGGTTTTCTACCAAAGAATCGGCGACACACGCTATTGTGGCAGTACACAACACCGATATCAATGGTCAAACGGTGAAATGCAGCTGGGGCAAGGAGAGCGGAGACCCGAACAATGCTCAACAAACTGGACAGGTAAACGTTCCCTCTTTTATTGACCTCTAGTGGAACGGAGCGATGAAATTTACGATAGAACCCTGGATAAAATTTCAGACGACACTCGGTATAAAATTCCGAATACAATTCTGAATAACCCCTTTGGCGTGTTACGTAGAAAACACCGACGCTCTTACACAGCTACAAAAAAGAAAATTAGGGTTTCACGGATCTCCTCTTGCGGAAAATAGGCGAATTAAAAGCACACTTAAAGTATTAATAAATATCTTTTATATCGATTTTAACAAAAATAAAATAAAGAACATTTCTTAAATAAGCTGTGAATAATTTGATCATCACAACTCATTATCATCGAATCTTGTTAACACGTTGGCTGCCCTGTCGGAGGATCGCGTTTCTTTTAACACTAGATTTACGGACATTGACAATTACATTGCAACTTTGATTAAAGTATTCATTTAAATTCGACTAAATCGCTAACGAATTATATATTTATGAGTCCTACGACATTAAACACGAAACCTGAAATTAATTAGTTAATCAATTGAACAAATCCAGGTAGGATAAAAAGAAGCGTCGGATTAATAAGTACATCGATCGCGTTCGAACTACGTTTTAACTTTGAAGTACGTACCAAAGATCCTAGCAATTAGTACCGGTTCTACTTTGAACTGGAACCGAGTTAGGTTTGAATTAGAAATTGAGGTATCTCGGCAAACACATTACCGTATAAATCCGTTCGATCGTATCCTATGTATTCTGTCGGTAAGCGTTCCAATTTAAATTAAATCGGAATAAAGCAAGTTTCTCGATCGAAATGACACCCGTTAAATTATTGTCATTGCCCCCTCGACTTCAAACATTTGCACGGGACCGAAAAACACGAAAAAGCTTTCGTCAAAGGGCTTTAATTTCAACTATTGTTACTCTTTCCTGAGTCCATTAACGCCTAAACATTCGTCATCGTGCTTTCGGAGGAAAATTATTTTCGATGTCGTTAAAGGTATTCGTCCGATTGAAAAGGGTATTACGAAGGATAAGCGTAAAAAATTCTTTGACGCGTCGTAAAAAGGAAATAGTTAGAGGATTCGGATCCTAAATGATTCCATCCGGTTCGAACAGCGCGTTCGCGTGTACGATCGTCTAGTACGAGAAAGTAAAAACGAACGAAGGAAAAGGAAGGGGACAGGGGAATCGGGCAAGATTCCGGTCTATTCACAAGCCTTGCTCTAAAGTGTGTCTATCGGGTCTCTTAGCAATTAGCGCCGGTAGAACGAGTAAGTACGTCCGATCTGGGAATGGTAGCCCAAGTACTCCCCCGTCCCCTCCTCCCTTGCACTCGCCCAGCTAGTACTTCCGTCCGACCATCCACTGTTACTCGGCCCGTGACATCGCTCTAATTGATCCCTATTCCCATAACGCGCTTCTCCCACGAGTACCGAGATATCGCATTACTAGGTACCTCATCATGGTCCCCCGGTCTCGTACTCGACGCAGTCCGACTGCTTTCGTGTTCGATCTCCTTCTTAACCCGCTAAATTAGCCGGGGTAACGTTATGGAGAACAATCGGGGTCTTCAGCCCTCTCCTTCCGGCGCTAGTGTGTGGAAATTAGTCGTTAGTAAGTCCCAATCGGGACGAGAATTTTTCTCGTGATTCGATACTTTCGGATAATTTTCAGAATCCGAGGGCCACTGTGTTCTCGAAGATAGTATCTTTTAATTAATTAATATTGTAGGAAATATCGCGAATTCTAAAAGCGTCCAAAGTGAGTTTCTCTTCTCTTGTTTCAAAGATCGGAATCTCGAGAGTGTTTAATTTTTGATTTATTTAATTTATTTGCGTCCTGCCGCCGAAATGAGAGCGAACAGAGTTTAAACAATAATCGTAAAATCGAGAGCCAACGCTGAAGCAGATTGGGGTAATCGGCGGAATGGTTGCAATTCCGGCGACCTAACAGCGCGCATGATTCATGGCAACGATTGTTAAACGCGCGGTATTACCATTCTTAACCCTATTGACATCGTTATGCATCGAATCTAGGCATTTACTCTTTTCTGTTTCATTGATTTTTGTGTTCTTCCAGGCGTTATCGTCGGCGACGTACCCTTACTATGCGGCGGCAGCAGCTGCCGCCGCGGCGGCGGCGGGCGTCGGAGGCGTCGGCGGTGCTGGACAGCTTGGATACTGGTACCCACCCCAATCTTACCCCACAACAGCGACGCAGATGCAGGCTGGTGGTTTCTTGCAAGGGATGCAAGGATACACTTACGGGCAATTCGCCGGATATCAACAGGCGCAATACATGGGGTAAGATCTTTCACTGGGGTCCGACAAGAGTGTTCATAGAATTGTTTTTAACGATAAAGTAATCTACATTACTGTAACTTCGACATACAGTAAATATGCCGGATAATTGAAATATACCTACATACGAAGTGATAAAAACGAGGAATATAATCACAGACGAGGTATACGAATAGACCTTATATCCAATGTATTTTTTCAGCTCATTTTTCTGAGACCCTAGAGTCTCATTGCTATTTTCGTGTCACACGCAACATTATCAACAGTTTACAGAAATGAACACATAATAACATAAATAAATTTCAATGTAATACACTCACTATTGTAGGAGTTATGGACGTTTAAAAATTGGACCATTTTTATGGGCTTTTTCTCACTTTGCGGGGTTAAGGAACAACTTTTCAAATATTTTTAGAATTTCTACATATTCTTCACCAAAATACGCGTCGTTTGCATTTTGAAACATTAAAACCCTCCAATCCGTTCAGGAGTTATGATCTTTTAAACATACGCATGAAATTTCAGGGAAAAATGTTATGTATAGTCAGACATTACATTTTCGGTAAGGAATTTTTTTCTCGAAAGTGCGTAGGATTTCGGGGATATGTGTATTCACCAAAAATGATTGCAATCGATCCCCCCAACTGATAATAATTTTTTCGAAACGATTTGAAATTTTTCTTTTTCGCCGAAAAATTTCAGCACCTCCTTAAAAATTGTTTTTTAAGTTTTAGTAATTTTATTTGACGCCCTATAGAAAAGTTATCTAATACTTTTTTCTAGGTACCCATGAGCTCTTCTTCAGAAAAAAGTTTCATTGAAATATATTCACTATTGTAAAAGTTATGGCTGTTTGAAAATTAGACCATTTTTATGGGGTTTTTCTCATTTTACGAGGTTAAGGAACAACTTTTCAAATATTTTTAGAATTTCTACATATTCTTTACCAAAATACGCGTTGATTGCCTTTTGAAACATTAAAATCCTCCAATCCGTTCAGGAGTTATGACCTTTCAAACAGTCGCATGCAATTTCCGGGGAACATTTCTGGCCATACATTGTATTTTCGATTAGGAATTTTTTTCTCGAAAATGCGTAGGAATTCGGGGTATGTCTATTCACAATAAATGATTGTAATTGAACCCTACAACTAGAAATAATTTTTTTAGAACGATTTGAAATTTTTTTAGTTTGTCGAAAATTTTCACACCTTCTCGAATTGTTTTCTCGAAACTGCGTAGGATTTCGTAGACGTATCTATACACCAAAAATGATTGTAATTGATCCCCGCAACCGATAATAATTTTTCCAAAATGATTTCAACCTTTTTAATTTTGTCGGAAAATTTAGACACCTACCATCTGGCTGTGACTTCTTTGTTCGTATGAAATATAATCTGTAACACTTATCGAACAATGATCGAGGTAAATGTACAACTGTAATTGGTTTTGTGAAAGACTCCAGAAAAACTCCGTGCAAAAAATTAAAGAATCAACTTTGCACCTAATTTTCTCATAATCGGCACGATGTTAACGGCTAAAATTATAGACATGTTTCTTGTAAATATATATCTATCTGCGGAATTTCTTTGAAATCGGTGCGAGCCGCGTCTGATGATTTCCCTCGTTAGAACGAAATTCGTTTATTTACTTGAACATTATATGTACGATCTGTAAATACAGAATGGGAATGGGCGTCCACGCCGCTGGCACGCCAGCAGGTTGGGGCCAGGGATTACCTGGGGGACCACAGTTACCACCACACCACGCCACGACGGTCACGGCACCCCCAGGGGTGCAAGCTCCACCCCCACCACCACCACCGCCGGCACAAATGATGGCCTACCCGATGCAACAGTTCCAGGTATCCATTATTTTTCTCTCCCTTTTTCTATGCCCGTGCATATTTTCTTGTACGTATTATCTACTCGGTGTAAGTGTACCTTGTGCTTTGCGTGTCTCTGCATTGTGTTGTTTTTTCGATCCATTCATTACAGAATTAACAATTAACAATTTATGGTTGTACAAATTACCCGCAGAAATAGGTGGAGAGCAATTTGTTTTCACTCGTTCCACTTTACCTCGATCCTACCCTAGCAAATAAACTATTAACAATAATTCATTGAGACGTTGGTGGTAGACGAATCCAACGAAGGCATGATTAAAGAAAAAGTAGTTTCGAACCAGGGATTCTAACCCTAACCTTAACTCTAACTCTAACCCTAACCCAAACTCGATTCGTTTCTCAGTTTCGTAAAGTAACCCACTTATCCCATATTTTTTGGTGACTTAATTATTAAAGATGTTTTCTTTTATCAAAATGAATGGATCAAATTATGGTAATAGTGTTACGAATTCCAGTCTTGGCTTCTGTATACAGTAAACGATTAATTAACGTGATTGAATGTTGTTGAATGGGAAAATTTGTGCTACGAGTGGCTTTTTAATTGGTTTACCGATTACGTTGTCTGGAAAAGCGTAAGAAACAAAATCATTCTAATCGTTACGTAATGCATGTCGCGCCCTCTTAACGTTGCACGCATGAATTTCTGTGTCATTCTCGCGATCACCTATCTCATCATGCACGCAAGTTCATCAATCGTATATAATTACATTTCACTTAAAAAACGAATACTTTCGGTTACATTTGGTTCGATGTTTTTTCGTGACTGCGGCTGTAGTTATTTATTTATAAAACACTGACTCCTCGAGCGTGATGATTTATCTCATAACAGAACTGTACGTGTGTAGATCATCAAATTCAACCTTTTGCAAATCAATTTTCTCGGTAACTTATGATCGGTAGCTTGGATAATTAGGCTCGAATGCGAATAAGGAATCACAAAAAATGGAGGCTCGAAAGTCTTCGAAACGAAAGTGTTTCGAGCGACCGTGCATGCAAATATCCTAATCATTCTTTTACGGCTCCGCATGATACTTCATATGCACGGTAGGGGAGACGGATACTCGATACTTCGGGTTCGGGTCGAATCGAGTCGGATCGGGTCGTGATCTCGACTCGAGTCACACCCAACCCAACCCGAGTCGCGGGTGCCCACCCTAAAGGCACGGAGGTTCGCCAGAGACATGAACTTGGCTGAAATACGCGCTTATCGAACCTTGTTTGCCTGAAATCGAATATCTCGCTGGGTTTTCTTCGATTCATTGTAATAATAAAAGGAGCGATTTCAATTTCTAATCGGATGCAAGAGATACAAGTTTATAAGATAGGGAAGAATGTATAAAATGTTAGAAAACAGTTTCTGTTACGGTTCCTAGAAAAAAGGATAAATAGAACGTAGAATTGCTCATTGAACTGACGACAATCGGCCAGGAGAGATATTCGAAATCACCCGAAAAAATCGTCTTTATTTACATATTTCGGTTCGCAGGCACAGTGATCGCTACCACTATCATCGCACGGCCTGGCTTTTCCTTACTTTCAAATATCACTTTGCATCAAGGAAACTGCATCTACGACCTGGCTCAACCTCGAATTCGACCAGAAAAATGGAGACCGTGTTTATAAAATGGGTATCATCGTTTGGTATGGAAGAACGCAAGGAAAAGAACGAACGAAAGTTTCATTTGCACCGACTTAGTTGTTTAAAAAAAAAAAAGAAAAAGACCGATTGAGCATCACAGTCACATATTCACGTAACACCGTTAATCTCTACGTAGTTTATCCGTTCAGGCGAGGCAACACACGTTTCGTAGGATAGTTTAGAAGGACTTTCGGAACGTTAAAAGCGATTGAGGTTGAGTCACGGTAAAGGTAGATTCAGATCGATCGGTCTTCGGGTGTGTTGTAATGCAAAGGCCCGATAACAAAGAACGAAAGAGAGAGAGCGATAAGAATATGAATTTTAAAGTTAAAAGAGAGTGTGAGTGATAGGGGATGAAAGAGAGAATAGATGTCGAGGATATTTCTATTGTTTTCTTGAAATTCGGACCAAGACTTAACCAGCGTTTGTGTGTTCAAATGGTAAAGTGTGTTCTTGGTTGCGGTCCAGCTAGCGGATGAGGACTGGCTGACGCCTAGCCTTCTAGTGTGATGGTAAGCAAGTACACCCCACCGACAGGAACAACAACAACAACAACAGTTACCACCACCATAATCACCACAACAACCAACAACAAAATTCTCGTCACCGTCGACGCCACCGCGACCGCATAAGCAACAATCTTTCCGGCTCGATAATCGGGAGGCAGCCATTTTAGCAAACAACGGGAATTCTAATCTAATAATTATTAAAGCAGAAAAGGAGGGAAACTTCCAGGCTCCCTGTAATTTTTCACGTCCAGCCGGCAATCTTCGAAAGAAAGGAAACTAAACCTGAGGCATCCTCTCGTCCAGTCTCTAGAATAGTAGTTCTCTCGGCTTGAATTAATAGATAGCGTCACGGTAGTGTCGAAAGCTTCATTAACGAAACAGGAATTCCGGGCTACGCGATCGTCGATTACCACCGAATTTCGCACGCGATTCGACGCGACCCGTAAACTTTTAACCCGTAACCCGGATTCATTATTTTTGTAGTTTGGGCTTAACAGCGAAAAGAAAAATTGAGTCCAAGTTGCACGGGAGCTCGAGGCGGCGGTGTATAAATAAATAAGGGAAGGAAGATTCTATAAATCAAAGAAAAAGCAAAAAAGAGAATTCAAACAATTAGCTAGTTAGGTAGGTATGTTATAATGAAGCGTTACTCGAGGACGATTCGAAATTCGGCGGCAAAGCGGGGCCAGACCTCCAGAAATTCGACGATCCCGCGTTCCCCGTGGGACTGTTCTTCGCGCGAACTATCCGTGAACGTGTCTTAATCCGCCATTCCGCTGCGAGGACTTCCCCCTTCGGTTGTTACATTATAAAGCTCGATGCCAAAAGACAAATCACGCGCAGTCGAGGAGCCGGTTGGATATTTTTATAAATGATCCCCCAGTGCTCGATTAAGACATAAAAAAAAAAAAATAAAATAAATAAAAAAAAAAACCAAAAAAAAGAAAAAAAAATATATGAAAGGAACCGCGGATCGGATGGAGCGTCCAGAAATCGGTCGATTCGCCATCGTATCGGGTCAACCCGTGGTTTTTAACTTATACTTTAGATTTTTATATAACACGCATACCATAGAACCAAAGAGGAAATCTCGACTTTAAGACGCTTAAGCAATAAATCGTTAAGCTTAGGAACGAGAGAGGAGGCCGTTCGATCCTGTGTCTCTCTGCTGTGAGCCACGAATTCCCAACAACTGTAGAGGTGGAGAGAGAAGGGACGCGACGTTATCAGCGGCTCGATATGGCGAGAATCGATCACGGTCTGCCCGACGTCCCGAATTTCGACTCGGCCAACCAAAATAAATAAACGGTGACGAAAACGAACTCGAGGAGAGGGAATTAAACAATTCATAGATAGACACATTGCACAAACAGCACGAAAGTTAGATTAGATGCATCGGGTTACTTCCTCGCGAGCCCGTATCCTGTCCGATCGATCGGAAATCGTTGGTAAAGGATTGGGTCAGAGATCGGGGCGGTCTCAAACGTGTTTAGTCCATTTTCGGTTTCAAGCACGATCCAAAACTGCGTTTCCCTGCTCGTGAATGTTCGCTAGTTTCATGTTTGCACCCGGAGTCTTTCGATAATGAAACTGTCTCGTCGTGCGTGAATCCGCGATTTAGAGACGAGTTGCTCGAAAGAGAGGTAGGGACGGGGATAGGTAAAGATGGGAAGGAAAAGCAATAGACAGCTTTGTTATTAATCAAAAGATAGACGGGATCGTGCTTTAAACGAATCAAAAGCGATCGACGTTCGCAAATCAAAAGCGTGATGATCAAAGGACCGATGCAGTAGACGTCGGAATCATGAGTTTAGAACGCGAGATCACCGATTATGGGAGAATAACGAAATCAAACTAGGCACGACGACGTGACGTTTTTAGGAATTCTCACTAATTTCTGGACGCAGCACGTTGGTGCGGATAGAAAAGGTGTGCCTTCAGTCCATTCTTGCGGACCACAGACGTATTTCGTGACATTAATTCCTCGTCAGCTAATATTATTTGCGGAGAGAGGCACAAGTTTCTGAAAATAGAAATCTTATGCTAATCTGGAAAGGGAGAACACTTGGTGTCTTCCCAGTACGCGAAACCTTTCGAAAGAATACTAGTTAAAAGTAGCAAAGGGTTTTTTTTTGCCCCAAACAGGAATCGATTATTTGTTTTATTGTCTACCAGTCTGGATGTGTCGGTGATATTTGTGAAAAAAAAACTTTATAAAACACTAATATTTTCAATGTGAACATTTTTTTTTAATAATGATTTAGATATTTAATACTATGTCATTCGAGACCATGTTCTTCCAAATGATATTTCAGTGTCATTGTACTGATGTGTATACCCCCTTGTTAGAATTTTGGACAAATTTGAAAGAATCGCTTTATAAACAATTTCGAAGATCATCGACAGTTTTAGTATTTCTTTTTTTTTATATATATTGTTTTACACACTTCTGAACGAACTATGGCGCCCCGGAGAACTGACTTCTCAATCGTTAATTAGCTACAAGCTTAATTAGCTTATTTTCCGAAAATATCGCCGACACACTCCCGTGAAACAGACTGTACTTTTTTAAACCATAATCACAAACTGTTCACTTGAATAATCTTCCCTATATTTTCTAAATATACTAACGATAATTATTTATTTAAAGGGGTTGATTCCCATTTGTATACATGCAAAAAAGCAGAAACCCTAACTGTTACAACGAAAATAAAGAAAATTTGTTAGTCCTTTTTCATTTAGTAAATAATGTCTGTTCAATCTTTAAAAGTGAAAATAATTATTCGCAGTTAAAAAAATGAATTTCAAATAATCATGGTGTGATAAACGGTATATATTAAAAATGAATGGGAAAGTATTAACAGGAAACGTGATTTTCTTCCACTTATATTACAAATTCGCATACAGTGCGACTACTTTTGACGCTATTCAAGTGAACCAGTGCCGTGCTCAATTTTTTAGCTTAAACGTTCCCAATTCTTTGTAAATCTTCAGTACAATAAATACAAACAATAGAACTTTCCAAGCAACCCTTCTATTTTGTAAATTCAACCCCAGCAATATACTAGAAAAAAAATAACTACACGAACGAACCAAAAAAAAATAACGCTAAGAAATTTTTCCACCTCGTATTTAAAACATAAGAATTGTGGCCCAAGATACAAATCAACACCAAAACATATTTCACCGGTATTTCCGTCAATTGTTTTATAATTGAGGAATACAAGGGATGAATAAGAGTCGTTTGTCAAAAATAGCGTAAGAATACAACGAATAAACGGAAACTAAAATCGTGCACACCGAGTCGTAAAAAAATCACATTTCATCGTCGAAATCATTGGCATTCTTTTGGGATACTATATCGATTATCCGTTTCGCGGGGGCGTAGCCTAATGGACACGCTACGGGTCGCGAGGAAGAAACGAAATTATAAATAAATATATACATACATATAAATAAAAATATATACCAAAACGTGCAGCGGCGACGAGAGCTGTTATTTTGAATCGTCGTATGCGAAAAGAAAGCGCTGTGCGTGAGATAAAAAGATAGCTCGTAAGGGACAACGTAAAAACATAAGTGAAACAAAATATCGTGTACATTATTAGTTAGGCGAACAAAAAAAATAAAAATATAGGTTATTTTTCTGAAAGGTGGAACGAGTGAGCGGCGAAGGGGAAAGGGCGAAAATTGGGGTTGGTCGATGGGTCAGAGCGTGGAATTCAAAGGGTTTAGGTATCGAAAGAATAGGAAGGGGTGGGGGTGGGGGTGGGGTGGGGGGATCAAATCATACGTCTACCCTAACGTGTCCTTCGTCCGTATAATCACTCCCCTCGCCGGAAAATCCGCTTCTCGACTCGATTCCACCTTCAACCATGAGAAAAAGAGAGTCCTCGACTCTTTTAAAATCACCGCGGGGATCCTCGTCCTTGTAAAAAGTATTTAAAGAAATGAGTCTTAAGCGATAAGGCGTGTATAGGACTTGCCATAGTGTCACGTGCGTTGTCTAGGTGACGAACCGAATGAAGCTAGTTGAGTGAAACGGCTATTAACGGAGGAGGGAGGGGGTATTGGAGGGGAAGGGGGAACCAAAACATAGTATAAAGTGATAAGTAGGTAATTAACATAATCTAATTAGTAGGTAACACGGGGTTTTGGAAAGTAACGACGACGAAGCGAGAGTGGGAATCGCGAGTAAACGTGAACGTGTAAAAAGCTTAACTTAGAAACCGGAAAGAATGATGACAGGGAGAAAGAGTGAGAGAGTGACCATTTAATACGAAATGGTGAAATCCGTTTATGGTACCTAACTCGTGTGTGTAATCGCAAACGGAACGTAATGGACAATGTATACTCACACCTACACGTGCACACGGTATGTAAATACACAGTTACGAGCGGAACACCACCCACACAAGCGTACGCGTAGAACGTAGACGAACAAACTACTTAACTACAACCCTAGACGTAGCTCAATCTAGTCTAGCTTGACGATCACTAGGTTAGCGAGTACGGAAAACGTATATACATATATATAGTGCAATAACTGTATCTGCAAATTACAACGCCCCCTACACGCACACGCGCATACACGCATACAAACAAACAAAAAATATACCAGGGAGTACCCAGTAACCCGGGGGAAATGAGGAACAAAATTTTTTTAACAGACCTCCCGTTATCTAGAAAATTGAAAATCTGTAGGATGCTCGGAACAACCATTTTGGACAAATTTTTAATAGAATTAGCTTCACGAGGTAGCTTACATTTATACGCAGAAACGTTCAAATTAAATCCATTACATCGAGAACATCTCGATATAACGAATTTCAATATAAATTGTGGACTGGGTTCCTTAAATCAGGATACAACGCCAACTAAGGATAATTTTATTAAAGTAACTCACCGAAATATTGAGCCTGGAGACTGACGATCGGTCTCACATCCTACAGATTTCCAAAGTTGCTTTCTCTCGATAATGGCAGACGTTACGAAAACAATATTGTTCCACGTTTTCTTCGCTTGCTTCTGCATGAAAAATCACCAACCTGCGGTTGCAGTACGATTACTGGGACACCCTGTATGAGAAACGAGCCGCGGCTGCTGCCTCCCCCCTCCGTCCGGAACTCTGAAATGCTACACCCCTATAACGCGTGCGATTCTCGTTCGAGGATTTTTACCATATCGTCGTTTAAGCTTCAGCAAGCTAGCACGGCCACCTGGCCATTATCGACTCATTGCCCGTGTTACTGGCAACCCATTTCCTCCCCCATTTTCTAGAAAAACCTTCCCTTTATTCTTCCTTCAAGTTTACTGGGCATCTTCGACTTCGTTCCCATTATTATTTTACGCCCCTCCGCGCCGAACGACTGATACGCTCTACGAAGACGACTTTCTACTAGGGAAGCCATGTAAAGACTCCCTTCCCCCCTCCACGATGTTACAACTGCACGGTGGACCGATTTCCACGCTCGGTCTCGGTGAACAATCGCTTTGAACTGACTCGGAGAAAAGGTAACGCCGTTCGGGTTCGTGCAGCTTCGGTCGGTGTCGCGTAGAGTCGGTTTCAAGTAACGCGTACCCCCAAGGCTGTTATTTTGACTTTTTGGTATTCGGTATTCCGACTGAATGTACAGAGTAGAAAACTGTCAATTTGCAAAACTTTTTCAGCTATTGTTTGTTACAAATTAATCGCTACAATCGCGACACATGCCAAAACTTTTGAGTAAATATTATTTCTATGGTAATGAAAACCCCACTCAGGCTAGTTGCATGGTCCCCAGGGAGAGGGGTAGATGCGAGAAATATTGAAGAGCGAGGGGGAGGAGTCTCCACCTGGCCTCCCTGCTTTCTACACAGAAGCGAAGATTCACTTCGCGAGGATTCCCCGAATACGATAACCGACAATCATTGAAGAAACATAACATTTAGAGACGTGTACGTGCTCCTTTCCACGAGGACTGACTAAAATAATTAACGATAACGAACGGCGGGTAGACGTCGGCGTCGGTGACGGAGGAATTAAGGAACATTCTGTTTACCATTTTCTGTCGATCCTCGTTTGCTTTTTAAATCTGTACAAATACTCTCTCAGTCCGTGGGATTAAAAACATGTACAAACATATCATTGCGCTGTTTAGCGAAATCCATGACAGCTTGGTAGAAACTGTAAAAAAGAGGCTGGTAGATAATAGCAATTATTCGTAGATGAGATTCCCTGTTATGGCAAATTTTATTATCGCAAACGTCCGAAACTTGTTTATTTCTCGTTTGTTACTTGTTAATTTATCTGTCAGTT